GGAGCCTTTGGCTTAAAAAACTGCCCTCCCTGGGGAGCAGATGCTACGTAACATCTCAAATGCCTGCGTGTTTGCTCTGGTTTCTGCCGCAGCCAAAACCAGTGTGCTTGTGTTTGTTTGATGCAGGGACCTGTGAAGCCTGCCTTTTCCCTGGCTTCTGGACCATGAGTTGGAGCCACAGGAGACGAGAAACCTGCAGCAGTCCCAAGAGGTTAGAGGCAGAGGGGGAGGGAAATGCAGTGCTAGGCCCATCCAGGGGCAGAAGGAGAAATGTGCCAGGAGCATACCTGCTGCTGTGCACGGGGCCCCATGGGGCAGAGCTCAGGCTCAGATGCCTGGCTGGGTCTGTGCTGCTGGCCCCGAGCTCAGGAGCTGTCACAGAGCTGGGGAGCAGCTTTCCCACCAATAGCTGCCTCTCCCAACTTGTGCTCAGAGCTGGCAGTGCCCCTCAGCAGGGAGGGGTGTGCAGCCTGGGCACAGTAAACGTGTGCCTCTGCTGTTCCCTTGTTCTTGTGCTTCCAGGATAAACCAGGGCTGGCAGAAGGGAAGGGGACAGGGCTTGTCTTAAGGCCAGGGAAGCTCACCTTGCTAATGCAGTTAACACCTTTCTTTAGATGCCCACCCCAACAGTCCTCACTTGTACCAGCAGCTCCTCACTCTGTAGAATGTTGGAGGCTGGGGTTTTTTTGCACTGAAAACAGACGTCAAGTCATGGAATGACCATCAGAAAAAAAATTGGTGGTTGTAGCAGTTTGCATGGTGTGCACAAGAAGCTATCTATAGCAACTGGAAAGTCACAGAGGGTGCGTTATCACCGCCCTGCAGGACTCATTCTGGCCCCATACAGGGAGTTATATATAGAGCTGTATACAAAAATACAGAAGAGCCCTGTGCTTATGTTGGAAAGCCTCATTAGGACTGCTCTTGGGCAGACTCCTGTCCTTGGCCTCACCAGAGAACTGCATATTTCAGAAGATATTTTGGAAGGATGCTGGACGGTGAGTACCACCCGAGGACAGCTGATCTGTGAAGTACAAGACTGCATGTATGCCCAATCTAGCTAAGATTTCTGATTTCCTCTGAAGTATTTTTATACTATTTATAGAAATCTACACACACAAACACACACACACACACACCATTCCACCTTCTTGTCTATTTACCTCACAGATTTGCTCTATGTTAAACTGTGCTGCCAGAGCAGAACTCTCCTTGGTTTAAGAATTCACAGGTTGGGGGTTCAGGGATGGTGGGTGTAGTGTTAAAAAAAATTTTAAAAAAATAAAGAACCATAAGAACTGTAAAGAACCACCAAAGTGGTTGTAGTCCACCAAAGTTTGTAGTCCACCAAAGTGACCAAGGCAGGATAAACTGTCCTTACGCCATGCCCAACAGTTCTTAGTCTAACCCACTTTGTTAGCACCCCTAACAAATGCTACCTGGGCAACAGATTTACACAGATGATACCCTCCCATAACACGATAGAGTCTAATTCAAAGGAGGTTTTAATGATAAAGTAAGCAGAATGGATGTTGGGACAAAGATGAAAATGCAGTTTGGTCAAGTGAGTTTGTTTTAGTAAGGCTTGGCTGTAATTTAAAAAAGTTAAACAAAGGCTTCTGGACAGCACAACAGCAAATAAGTGTAGCTTTGTGCTTAGGGAAACCTTTAAATTCAGCAAAGGCAGCATGTAATTTCAACAGCAGTCTTGCATATTTAGCTTTCTAGGCAGCATAATCACCTGTCCCACAAGCACTCACAAAGGGTGATAAACCATAGAAAAACTTGCCTTGACTTGTGTCATTTCCACTTCAAATTTTTCTTTTGCAGATTTCACAAGAAAGGAAGAGGTGGGATCCCCCCTCCCAGGGTGAGGCAGAGCCTTTGTCTCATGCCTGGAGCAAGCAGGGAGAGTTCTGGACAGGATCCCAGGCTGCAGAAATAGCCTCATGAAAGCCTCCACGCTCTCCCAGACTGAGCACCTAAAGCAGTTGCTTCCCTGGAACAGAGGTGTGGTGCCTACAAGATGCCTATCAAACTGCTCACTCTCTCCTTTCTAGCTGGACAGGAGAGAGAAAATAAGATTGAAAAGGACTCAGAGGTTCAGATAAGGCAGTTTACTAAAGCAAAAGTGAAAGTTTGCACTTGCACAAGTAAAGAGAAAGTAAAGATAGGTTTATTCTCTACTTCCCATTGGCAAGAGATGTTCAGCCACTTCACCAGAATAAGGCTTCAGCACCTGGAGTGGTGGCTCCAGAAGGCAAACATTGTAAATAAAAGATGTCCCACTTCCTTTTCTTAGCGTTTATGTCTGAGTTGATGTCACATACTATGATATATCCCTTGGGTCAGTTTGGATCAGCTGGCCTGGTTGTGTCTTTCCCAGAACCTTGCCCAGCCTCAGCCTACTGATGGGGCAGGCAAGAGTGCCGGGGAAATAGTGCTGATGCTGTGCCAGCACTGCCCAGCAGCACCTTTCCAGCTACCAGTGCAAAGCACAGCACTGTGAGGGCTGCTAAGGGAAAATTAATTCAGCCAGACTCAACACAACTGAGTAGTTCCTGGTCCTTGTACTAGGGCTTGGTTATCATCAATGTGAAGGAGTTAATTTGGAAGCCACTTCTACAAGCAGGCTAAAATTGTCAAAACACAGATGCTACATTCATATCTCCCTCCTTGCATTTGTGAATTTGATATAAACAACTTATGTGGAAAGTTGAAAGCTCTTCCCTGACATCTTTAATTCTCAAAGTGAGAGTGTGCAGATTGTTATCACACAGATTTTCTCTTCCTCAATGAACTTTCTCTTTTTACTGCAAGTCAGGACCATATTCTTCCTCAGAATCCTACTTGTTCTCCAGTGATAGCAGTCTGTCCAGTCCCATTCCCAAGTACAGAGCCTGTACCTGCAGATAAACATTTTAAAGGATGCCAGTCTCACCTTGGTGGAAGGAAAGATCATGGAGCAAATCCTCCTAGAAATTATGCTAAGGCATGTGAAAAGTAAGTAGGTGATTTGTGACAGCATGGCTTCACTAAGGGCAAATAGTGCCTGACAATTTTGGTGGCCTTCTAAAATGGGTTTGCACTGATGGATGTGGAAAGAGCAACTAATATAATCTACAAAGGCTTTTGTAAAGCCTTTGACACTGTTCCATAGGCCCCATCCTTTCTCTAAACCAGAGAGAGTGGACTTCCCGATGGATAAGGAATGGGCTGTATGGTCTCACTCAAGACTTGTGCCCAGCACCAAGTGTCCAAGTAGAAACCAGAGATGAGCTGCCTTGCACAGGGGCTGGTATTGGGACTGGCCCTGTTCCACACCCCTGTGGACAGCAGGGAGGGTGGGACTGAGGGCACCCTCAGCAAGCGTGCCAATGCCTCTGAGCTGCTTGGTGCTGTCCACACAGCGGAAGGAAGGGATGGCACTCAGAGGGACAGGCTTGAGAAGGGGGCTTGTGCTAACCTCATAGAGTCACAGCCCAGTGCAAGGTCCTGCCGACAGGAGTACAGGCTGGGCAATGAATGCATTGAGAGCAGCTGGTCTGAGAAGGACTGGGGGGTGCTGGTGGATGAGAGGCTGGACATGACCCAGCCATGAGCACTCACAGCCCAGAGAGCCAAACTGTCCTGGGCTGCATCTAAAGCAGCGTGGGCAGCAGGGGAGGGAGGGGATTGTGCCCCTCTGTTCTGCTCTGGTGAGATCCTATTTGGAGTGCCGCATCCATCTCTGGGATCCTCTGCATAAGAAGGACGTGGATCTTTTGGCATGCACTCAGAGGAGGCCACAAAGATGATCAGAGGGCTGGAACATCCCTTCTGTGAAGTCAGGCTGAGAGGGGGTTGTTTGACCTGAGGACAAGGCTCCACAGAGACCTGTAGGACCTTCCAGCACCTGAAGGGACCCCACAAAAAAGTTGGAGAGAGACTTTTTACAGAGGCATGTAGTGACAGGACAAGGGGGAATGGATTAAAACTGAGTGAGTAGATATTAGGAGAAAATTCTTCACTGAGAGGCTGGTGAGGCACTGGGAGAAGGATTTCCTAGATAAGCTGTGGATGCCCCATCCCCTGAAGTGTTCAGATCCAGGTTGGACTGGGCTTTGAGCAACCTGACCTGGCAGGAGGTCTCCCTGCCCATGGCAGGGGGGTGGGAACAGATTATTTTTAAGGTCCCTTCCAACCCAAACCATTCTATGATTCTATGTTCTCACAATTAGTTATCAAAAAAGGCACTTCTCCAGTGTCTCAAATATAAAGCAGTAGTGTCAGGGTTTGCTGCCTTTGGTGGGTCAAGTTTGAAAACCTTCAGAGGTTGTCATTCTCTGTGCCCCTGGGAAGACAGGTCCTCACCCAGAACATGTAACTTGGATAAAAAGACATGACAAGAGCTACAGTTCAAAAGAAATGACAAAGTTTTCCCTCAATTTCCCAACAGTTCATTGATTTTTATTAAACTCAGAAACTAATCAGGCAAATAGAGACCAGGAACACAAAAGCTTAAAAATGGTGAATGGAAAGTGTAAATCTACAACACATTGTAACCACTCAGTGGAGTAATTTAATAACCATTTAGTATAAAGATGTTGAGACTATTTTCTTTTTCACCCAATGTCATCTGAAGTGAGGGAAACTTGTTAAGTGGTCTTTTCTTACAAGAACAAGAGAAGAGCTTTTCAGAATCACCACATTACTGAGCATCAATGTAAACAGACCAATAATCTCATTCATGATTTTTGGAGATGTCTCATATTTAGTTGCAGCAATAACATCTTATCTAGGACCTGTCTGCTTCTCACCATGTCCTGAAATCTCTTTGACCTAAACAGGGACACTGATAGTAGGGTTTCTCCAAAATGCCAGGAGACAGGCTGTCCAAAAAAGGCTTTCACTTTGGAAATCACCATTTCTTCCCTTCTATATTAGGAAACTCCATACTGAATGGCACAAAATTGAAATGTATTTTTAGGGAACACAACAGCTTTTACAGAGTATTTAATTTTTATACTGGCATTCATGAAGAAAGCACATTTGATGCAGCTTCTTCAGCTCCTCTCAGGTTGTCCTTTACCTTGGGCAATAGAGCATAGAACAAGATACTTTTAATATGTACTTCAGCATATGTATTTCAGCTATTTCTGCAATACCCAATTTACTTGCTAGTTTTTTTCAGTGATGATGATTGTTCTATTTAGAAAAAACAGTTCTCAACACGAAAATTCATAAATACAAACATGCTTGGAAGCAGCCTTCCAAAAGGGTGTTACCATATCCACCAGCAGCTATGTACAATCAAGTGGGCCGGAAAGCCCTAATGTGACAATTTTTAAATCCCCAGTCCTCACATCCTATAGAAAAGATATATTTGACTTCTTTTGTTCAACATACCATTTTAAAGCTTTTAAAACTTTAAAGTTTTTTTGGAAGAGAAACTTGGGCCACACTTAAGAGTTTGGGAGTGTTTCACATAGGATAGAGGCACTCACATTTGTCAGACTAATAGCCAAGAGGTTTTACATCCTCAAGCACATGGTAAAGCCATTTAATGCATTAATTTCTTATGTAGATTCAGTCTCAGCAATGTAAAGCTGTGGTTAACACAAAGTTATTAGAGGTAGGTAATAATCATATGGTTTGCTTTTTCTAGCTACATTTAAACTTCACAGTTCACATTTAAGTTTTAGCTAAGTTTTGATGTATCCCCTTTAAAAGTGATTTTAGGTTATGGACTTCTGTGAAACTTTCGTCCACTGATTTCTCATTTAACATTTTTATAGTCAGAAGACACAATAAACCACAACAATCAGAGAGGCAATTCAATACAGTCAGAATCCAAATGTCTGCTACACAGGAACAGTCAATGTTCATAATCTGTTTGCCTGCCATCAATTGGCGTATTTAAAATGGCAAATTATGACTGCAGAGTTGGTAATTAGTACAGATTTTTGTTAACCAAAAAAATTAAAAGTAATTAGATACTCAATGTGATGTGAAAACATAGATATTTTGCTGCCTTCATCAAACTTTGGGAGTATATCAAAAACAAATATGCCTTGTACAACCTTTAGGAAAGGCCAGCTCTTCTGTCAACATGCAGCCTGAAAAGATGCAGAATAACTGGGGGCCAAGGAGATAAGAAATGTAAAATCCATATGCAGAACCCAGGGTAGCTTACAGATACAAAGAAACATAGCAAGAAATGTTACCTGCTTTTTGAGGCAGAAAACTGTCAAATTACTTGCCATGAGAATTTTTCTTGTTCACATAATATGATTTTTCAGTGTTACTCCCATACTTTCTGCTGAGGGACACTGATGTCCCTCACAGATGAGAATCTGGTCACACATAGGGCAACTCAGGAACCATAGCTTAGGATTTTGCAAGTATGGATTTGCCTCACAATAATCAAATACAACACTTCTTATGAAGCTACGAACAAATGAATATTTAGGCTATTTCCCAGAAGACACTTAGAACACCTTATTCAACTTCTGAAATTCAAAGCTACTCCCTCTATCAGGGTGCTAAAATGACAAAAAACCTCAAAACTAAAAAACTCAAAGATGGTTGATCAGCAAGGCAGAGAAGCAGTGGTGGGGATGGGTAGGTACAATTACATCTCACCTTCACTGTAACTATACTGCATTCCAGAAACCCATCCTACCCTACCATGAAATCAACTTGTGGTCACCATCTGATGTGAAGACAAGAATATACCATGCCTTTTTGGTCAATTTTTACTTCAAGATTTTTGTTGCTTGGTTTCAAATGAGTTTTTATCTAGGTAGACCCCCATGACATAAGAGAATTCTGTTCAGGGAAGCTACTTCAGCCTTTGCTGACCAACATCCCGTTAAGACTAACCAGGAAAATGGGATTCCCACAGGAACTGCTGTGGTGAGCCCACTGCCTGGGAGATCCTCTCCTTTAGGTATCTTGCTAATTCTTTTTTCTTGTGGCTGGATTTCTAATCATCTCAGCATGTGGGCAATAAAACCAATTCCCAAGCTCTATCTTCCCCCCCTAACTCCTTCATGTTCCTTGAGTTATCACTTTTCTTTTGCACCCTAATCTTACCCTAGGCAGCTCTAATCCTTTCCACCAGTTTGGCTCCATTATTACTCCACATTCTTGGCTTTTGCTTCCAGTCTCAATATCTCCCAGCTTTCATTTCTCTTACTGTGCAAACAGTCCCACTCAAGCAACTCATTCTCCCTCTCCAGTACTAGCCTCACAGCTCTCCTGGTTCTACTCCTCTAGACTTCCTGTATTTTCCAGCTATTGAGTCTCTCCTCCAAACAAAGTGTCTGCTGGGACGTATCTAGCTCACACACCTTACTCTGCTCCTCTGCTTTTCCAAGCAGATCACTATCACTAGTTATGCTCCCAATGCTGCCACATAAATTAATCTGCTATAGAAATAAAACTTATTTATTTAGCTAGGAAGGCTGCTACAGGTTTGGACAATGGGATTGTTCTGGTAGCCTAAAGATACCTATTGGACTTCTCTAACATGTGTGCTAGGGGTACAGCTACACTACCCTTTTCACTTGCCCTGCATTGCAAAACAGGAATCATATTTATCCCCAAAGTTACTTTTGCTGGCCAAAATGGTCTACATCCTGTCTCTTTGGGCTCAGCAGTGGCAAATGGTGCACCTAATCTGTTTTAAGAAGTCTTCAGTTGTCTTTGGAACCTTTAGAAAAAAAAAAAAGTGCTGTTAATGACTGGCAAGTAGAAAGACATTGTGGAGTCTACTGAATGCACAAAGTGACCTGCCACAAACACACCAGCTGCAAAGTTACTTGCTTCAGCTCTGAACAGCACTTCAAGCATACAAAATAAGGCACTAGTAAAGCACTAAAGAAGCTGAGCATGTTCACCATTACTCTAATTTGAACGGATTGGAAATTCTACTTTATTCTATTCTAATTCTAATTGGAAAGGTCTGTCTTTGGAAGCAGGTTCTAATGCTACTCTTGCATACAGATATGCTTCCAAAAGACTGGGCTGAATATCTCTTATTGACACACATCAATATGCCACACTCTTATTGAACTTCACACAAAGAAAACTATTTCAGATGAAAACTCTTCGTCTGGCTATCAATCCACTGCATCTGTGTAAAACCTACTCAGAAGAATTATGAAATCCATTTAGTAAGGCCACACAACTTTAAAAGTCCAGTATATTGAATAAAATAATTTTATTTGTATTTAATTAATTTGTTTATGAAAAACAAATTTTATGGAATCTGAAAGTTGATGATAATAGGTAACTTTTAACTGAGACTTAATATGAGAGATTCTCTACCCAAAAATATGTCAAACAGTAAGATTATAAAGAACTTCAACGTTCTGTGCTATACTGTATGATATGTAAACAATTTTGAAAATATTTCCCCATTATATATTTTGACACAGTATGCACAAATTTAAAAAAATAAAATGAAAATGAAGTTTAAACGCCTCAAGGGATTTCTCAGAAGTAAAGCCATCTGAAAAGCCATTTATAGTCTGCGGTGACAAACTTCTATATAATCAAAATATTCCCCTTTTCACAATGCAGAATAACCTGCTGAAGGCAACTCCCTATCAAAGTGATGCCAGCAACACAGATCTGATTGTATGACTCCAGCACTTAAAAGAGCACATTGGTTATACATGGCTTTTAACCCTGGGCTACAATTATGCTACCAGAACTAAATTCAAGTCTAAATCAGTCATGTAGAGAGGTGTGTGTCATCTGAACGCTGTTTAAAGTCCGTGTTTTCCAGATCTGATGAAGTTGGTGAAGACGCTCTGATGCTCTTGTGCTTACATTCAGGGCAGGATGAACTTTGCAAATACCAGATTCTCCAATTAATGACAAACCACAGATCCCAAAGTAGGCATGTAAAGCATCTGAAAGAAGGACAGAAATGGAAAAGTATGATTATTTCAGGCTTAACATCCAAGTGTTCCCATATTCACACACCTCTGAGTAATCAGGTGCTGTATTTAAACCTGAGTTTTGATGGAAGGAAAACAAAGCTACCAACATGAACTAAAGTCCAGATTTCTTTTGTAACAACTTGTGCACTACTTTACTTTTTCTGAGTGCCACTGCCAAAAAGCAAAACAATTTATGCATGTGAAAATAACCAGTCCAGAAAGCAAATATTTTTCTTGCAAGCATTTTTTTGGATGCTTACTTTATGGGCAGCTAACTACTGAAACAACAAAATTAGTGCCAATAGCTGCCAACAGCAAGACTTAGAGAAACTGAAGAAGCCATTACTTTTCCTAGCTTCCCCTTTTCCTGAGAGATTAAAGATTCATGCAGCTTGGTTGAGAGATGACTGCCACCAAAATGGGATACTCTTACTCTCCTGTTCCATACTGCTCCTGATGTCCAACCTAACCAGGGTTGCAGCTCACTGAGTCTGCCTCCTTTGGGTAGCAGCAAGCTATCAGATTGGATTATCTGCCCATGAAATCACAGGTGAAAGGTCAAAAGAATATGAGAATTTCATGTGTCTCTTGCAAAATCTCAACACTCTGTGGAGCTGTCAATAATTCAGTATCTCACTAAAATGAACACCGAATCATTTAGGCTGGAAAAGATTTCTAAGATCAGAATCCAATCCTCAACCTACCATTGCCAAGACCAGCACTAAATCATGTCCCTAAGTGTCATATCATATCTCCAGGGATGGTACTCAAACACTGCCTCGAGTAGCCAATGTTTTACAACCCTTCTGGCAAAGAAATTTTTCCTACTATCCAATCTACACACCTCCTCTAGTGTAACCTGAGGCTTTATTCTTGTCCTATCAGTTCTTTCTTAAATAATGCTAGTGGGTCTCCACAGCCATGTTTTGATGTCTGTTAGCACGGGAACAAAGCAAGACTACAAAATAGTATTTCCCTCGATAATCAGCTGGAAAGAGTTACTCGTTAACATTTTAAGTCCATATAGCACATAGATTATCACAAGCAGTTGACTGTCTTCTGAATCTCCTAGTCTTCTTCCTAAAAACATTATTGCACAGCAAAGACAGCTTGAGTCCCCAAATTTTAACTGAGTAGGAGTAAAGTAGGAGCCACGGAAGTTAAAATTTAATTCTGATTAAGTCTTAGGAATATTTATAGTGTAGACATGACTGAAAGACAGCTTGCTGCATATATATAACAATGAAAACACAATTCCTCAGAAGCAATCTTTGCAATGTTACGTTTTTACTTTCTTTGTATCAGAACTGAGCTAACTTTTTACTTCTTCCTTCAAAAAAGGACCACAGACTTATGCCACCATCTGCCTGAGAAAAAATTGCTACAGCAAGCCTAGAAAATACAAACATGCACACACACAACAAGGAAAACCAATTACTATTTGTCTTGCCTTTCTTAAATCTTATCTCTAACAGTCACAACTATGCTAAAAGACAGAATCATAGAATCATAGAATACCCTGAATTGGAAGGACTCCACAAAGGTGATAAAAGTCTGACTCCTGGCTCTGCATAGGATGCCCTGAGAGTTACACCATGTGCCTGAGAAGATTGACCAAAAATTTCTTGAGCTCTGTCAGGCTGGTGCTGTGACAGCTTCCCTGGGGAGTCTGTTCCAGTGCCTGAACAACCTCTGGGTGAAGAACCTTTCCTAATATCAAACCTAAACCTCCCCGGACACAACTTCAGGCCACTCCCTTGTGTCCTGTCACTGTCACCACAGAGCAGAGATCAGTGCCTGCCCCTCCTCTTCCCCTCCCACTGCTCTCCTGCAGTGAGGTCTCCCCTCAGTCTTCTCCAGGCTGAACAGACCAAGTGACCTCAGCCACTCCTCACACGGCTTCCCCCCAAGGCCCTTCACCATCCTCATGGCCCTCCTTTGGACACTCCCTAACACCTCAATGTCTTTTTTGTGTTGTGGCACCCAGACCTGCCCCCAGCACTGGAGGTGAGGCTGCCCCAGCTCAGAGCAGAGCAGGACAATCCCCTCCCTTGCCCGGCTGTGATGCTGGGCCTGATGCACCCCAGGACACCGGGGCCCTCCTGCCTGACAGGGCACTGCTGGCTTGTATTCAACTTGTCATTCACCAGGACCCCCAGGACCCTTTCTGCAGCAGTGCTCTCCAGCATCTTGTTTTCCAGTCTATCCATACATTCAGGACTTGCCCTTGTTAAACTTCATATGGATGGTGAATGACCATCTCTCTGATTTGTCAATGTCTCTCTGCAAGATTTCTCTGCCCAACAGCTACTCCCAAAGTAGTCAACAGCTACTCCCTATTTAGTGTTGTTTGTGAACTTACTTAGTATTCCTTCCAGCCCTGTATCCAAGTCATTAATGAATATGTTGAAGAGCACAGGGCCAAGGATGGATTTCTGTGGATCCCCTCTAGTGACAAATCACCAGTCTGATGTCACCCCATGCACTAGGACCTTTTCTGCCCGGAGTGTGAACCAGTTGCTCACCCATCCCATGATGTGTTTACCCAGCCTTTTACTGGACAGTTTGTCCAGAAGGATCCTGGACGGGACAGTATCGAAAGCCTTAGATTGTATCAACTGGCTTGCCTTGGTCAACTACAGGGGCAACACTGTCATAAAAGGAAATTAAGACAGATTAAAGCACTTCACACATGACGTGTATTTGAAACAGATTTTTCTAATCTCTGACTCACAAGGTAAATATTTCATTAAGTTAAACCAAAATTCTCCCTCCAAATGATACTGTTTAATCTATATGATGAGGAGTAAATACATCTAAATTCCTCAGAAATCCTAAACCGGTTTTCAGGGAAGAGGCAGATGTGAATCTATCACAAGCACTGTATTTTTAGTGTGGGTTCACCTTGAAAAATTCTGAACTGTTGTACAAAATGAAATTATAAAGAATTAAATATCAGGTCATAGATTCTAAACAGATTCCTCCTTTATTATGACTGAATTTTTATCTTATTTGGTCCGTTTAAAGACTGTTTATCTTCCCTGTCCAAAATGCCGTGGGCAAACACTACTGGCGCAAACTTTGTTTTCACAAGTTTGCAAAATCTTAATTGAATTCTAACAACTTTTTACATTAATACTTTAAATATTAAAATACTTTAGCATCCTTTTGAGGTTTTTTTTCACAACAAATTATCCAATTCCAAAAGCATAATGATTAGTTTTCAGACATACTCGTATAACCACAACCTGTAAATCATAGTACATAACTGTGCAAACTGACTGTTTTTACATATATCAATGACTTCTGAATAAGCTTGAATTATTAAATTACTAAAGAAACAAGTGTTTTGATATATTAAACTCAATTTACAGAAATACCTACAACACAATATTCCCTTTAAGTAGAACAGTTAAACACATACTAAATAGACAGTGATACTCTTTTAACAGTAACCTAAACAACAGCAGCTCACTTCCTCTGTGGCTGAACAAGGAAAAACATCATCTCCCTCTTTCTACCTCAAGAAAAATCCTTATATTTTTGAGGGTGGGTTTTTTTTGTTTGTTTGTGGGGTTTTTGTTGTTTTTTTTTTAAGAATATAGTTTCCCTTACACCTCTCAAGTGTCTGACTGCTGGAATGCATTTCTTACCTAGAAATACATTAGAATTAGAAATACATTTAATTACTTAGAAATACACTCACTGCAATTTTGAGAAGTTATTTTACCTGGATGGCTGTCTGGCCACTTGGCAAATCCACCAACAAGGCGATCTTGAGTTGACAGGATGTAATTTCGGTTTTTCTCAAAATTTGTATATTGGAATATGTTCAAGAGCTGAAAAGAAATTACATTGCAACAGTAATATAGGTCTTAGTGTATTTTTAACACTGAATCTTTAACAAAGTCTTAGAAAATTTTTACCACTAGAATATAGTGCCTATATTTGAGATAAGCAGTGACACCACAGGTAGCACCAATCTGGTAAACCTCCATTTCCTGCATCTTTTGAGAGATGAACAACATTTACAGTCATTGGTGCATACTGACACGCTTGTGTGAAGTATCTAACTCTTTCAAGCAAAGAAAACAGTGCTTAAAGAAATCAAAACAGGTCAATAACTATCCCTATATCTGTTCTGTACACTACCTTCAATGTCGCTCCCACCCAAAAGGAATAGCAAGTGTCTACAGGTTTGTTGGGTCGTCCATGGTAGCCATTCTGTTGCCTCATTATACACCATCTTCTTATTCTGTTCAGTTCTTTTTCTGAAAAAACTTCCTCCAGTTTCCCCATCAAGCACAGTGATGCAATACCACAAAATGTAGAGCCACCTGTAAAGACAGAGCAGGGTTTGCAATGCTTTGATACACGGATTTCCTGAAGCCAGTATGATCTCAGTCAGAACTTTAATTAAGTTTTTAGCAACTAAATCAATGGACTTTTAAAAGTATGAAAAAGTTAATTTTAGGTCTAAAATCCAAATAAATAAGAACACTCTAAATAAGAGCACTTCAGCAGATATGTCAAAGGAGGGAAAGAAACCCCTCAACCCAGCTCTTGCAGAAATAAACCAGTTCATTTTCTTAAAGCTATTTTTTCTCTCAATGCTGCACAATTTACATTACACAGCAGTCCAGAAATAAGTAAATGGCATTGCAACAGAAATATTTCTTCATTTGTAACTTAAAAAAGAAAAATATTGTAATGCCAGCAATCAGACTGAAGCAGAGATGCCAAAGCCAGGCTCAGACACAATCCCCTAGAGGACATAAACAAACAAAAGTGTCTGGTGAGAAGAAGAAAAAAAAAATTAAAATTAAAATTATTAAAAAAACAAAACACACAGTTAATACAGTGAAAAGACTCCTGAACTCTCATGGTTGCAATACATAAAAATTGTGCTTCTGAGACTGTCAAGGAAACTGCACAGTAAAAACTCATGTTCTTTGTGTAGCCCAGCCATCACTTTTTAAAGCCCATCAAAATTTATTTTGAATCTAATACCTGATATGATAAAATCAGAGGCTGGGAAAGACCATAAGCAAGCTGCTGACAGATGACTCAGGCTCCAAAGCTCCTTACAATATCCTGGTGCTGGAAGACCCCAGGAGCTGTAAGATTATTTTCACTCTGATGCTGAAACGCAGTGCTGAAGTACTGCTATTTGTTATCACTAATATTCTACAGAAAGTTAGTTAACCAATTGTTTTAATACCTAGGGGCGCAATTTAAATTATTTCAGCTTTACTGATCCATCAAGAAGGAAACAGGCAAAATCCTCTCAAAGCACAATACTAAGGATAAAGATAGCAAACATTTCAGAGGATCACAGAATCATTTAGGTTGGAAAAGACCTCCAGGATCATCAAGTCCAACCTTTGCCAATCACCACCTTGGCTAATAGACCACAGCACTAGATTTAGTATCACCCACCTAAAAGTCAAAAGCTCCTCTGCCACAAGCAGATTGCTACTTCATGGCACCGAAAGATTTTGCTCAAAAAATAGCATTCTCTTGGGAATTCCTATCTTCAGATCTACCAACTCTTTACAAAAAATAACTGTTGCTTCAAGATTTGAATCCACAGCAGATACTTTATCTATCAGAGGAAATGTTTCTAGGTTTTACCACAGCTGTTGAAATGGGAAATAATCAGTTACACTGCACAAAATCTCTTGCAGTTAAAATCCTCAGAGTAACAATGGCACCTGCGGAAAAAGTTTGCTCTGTCAGCAACAGCTGAGAACTAGAAGCAACACCTTTCAACACAACACTCATGAGGTAAGATTAATGTAGTGATTAAGAGCCCGTCTGTTCAGATATTAAGCTAGCTCTAAAGGAAGAAGAAGCGATATTTGGAGGCATGTTTTGGATTTGCTCCTCCCCACATCACTTCCTTAAAAATCAGAAAAGAAGAAAAGGTATGGCATACCCTGCACCTTCTACAGCATTTTCAATACCACTCTGAAAGGTATAGAAGACTTTGACATTCTTACCATGAGATTCCAGTCCAGCTCCCTGTGCCAGGCCATTATCATAAGACTGAAGAAAAAAAATCCCACAAAGCAGTTAATTTAGAACCACAGCTCTTTGACAGACATTGCAATTTCTTAGTTTACCAGCAAATTTATTACCAAATCATTGCCACAATTTAACCTGATTAGATTCTGAACTTCCAAAAGTTCTTGGCACAACACAGTTAACAAATCAGCCCTGTTTCAATGCAGGCAGTTTTTATGACTTTCATAGAATTAATTTTAGTTGTGACATATGTTAGAAACCTGAAAAACGGTAAGCATATCTTTGCCAAAAAGAAAAATACATGAACTGCAGGTATAAAAAGAAAAAAAATGGATATGTAATCAAAACAAAACAAAATTAAATGATCATTTAATCTGTCTCTAATCCAAGAGCAGTTTAATATTAAAAAGAGGCAAAATGCTAGGTACTCCTATGTGTAGAATACTCAAATCCAATCAATACTTCAGTAAGAAGCAAGTACATCAGGCTTTAAGAAAACAAGAAAATAAGAGCAATAAGAAAATTATAACATGCATTGGAATAAACTTTAAATGTTCTATAAAATATTACTGTTTAAAAACACTGTTACAGTGCTGAAAAATCACTCTGTTAAGTGCAACCAATGGAAACTCAAGTCTGACAAAGCACCAAGAATATCACAGTTCACATCTGTCACGACCAATCTAGGAACACATGTATATGTAATAATAATATTTCTTCCCTAAAAATCCATTAAATTATTTTACTTGAAAAGAAACAAAGGATCATATAGGAAAATATTCATAAAATGGAAACGGTTTATTTTACAAGAGTTCGTAAAATATTTAATGAATGATCTCTGAACAATACCAAATTGCTTAGAAGGAACAACGAGGTATACAACTTTTGAAGTTAAATTACATAGGTCCTTTATATTCTACATCAACTGCTCAATTAATGATTGTATCATTCATTCAATGAAATATCTGATCAGACAAAAATTTCTGCCACATCCTCCAGGTGCTGACTGTGAATTTCTCACATTTTCTCTAAAACAGCGGCTAGTAGATACAGGACACCTTGACAAACCACTAATGACTCCCATAGTCCTAACTAAAGAATGGCTACAGGACTATCATGTCTTTAGAAATTACCTAAAGGTTATTTTGTACATCTGCTTTTAAAGCTGACATTGAGAAGGAAAAGGTAAACAGAACACACAGAAGCTACACTAAAACTGCATTTCTGGTTTTGAATTGTTGCTGCAGGCTGAAGCAACTTGAAAGACTAATATCTGATGCATACACTTCAAGCTGCAGCTCGATTTCAAAGGTTTGAACCACCACATTTTAGTAATCTCTATGAACTTCTGAATGTTAAAGCACACAGTGTGAACTCTTCCTTTTCCACCGCCTTTTGAGAATGCAACACAAATGTGCTACCACATTCCACAGGCACACTAATTGCTAAGAAAAGGCAAGCTGATTAGCAAAGCTATGCTGGCAAAGCTAATTAACTCTACAAACAGCAATTTTAAGAGGAGGTGGCTTGCTTTATGTATGACAAAGTAATTTGCTCTGGAGAAAAGCTGTTAAGTGTGTATCCCAGGCACTACTATGTTGGGCTGTACAATTAGCTTTAAACTCTAATAGACAATAGCTGACCCTGGGCTAACTGGTGCCTATTTATTTACAAACAGCAGCTGCTCTTTGGGGACTTGTGTGGTCTAAACAGCTAGGGAATGATTTTATTTCTTTGTCCTTTTGAAAAGACTCCAGAAATTCTATGCAAAAATAGCTCTTGATTACTGCAACAAGACAACTGTATAATTAAATACTATTGTCAGGAAACATGTAAATCCAGTTGGGTAAAATCTTCACTTCAAAATATGTAAGTTTTACAACCAGCTTAATTAAATCAATAGACTAATACAACTGCATTTGAAGAAGACTATACTAGAAGAAGCAGATATTTTTAAAGCTTCTTGCAATATTTCTATTTCAAAAAAACACCAAGCATTGTTGCAAAAAGCAGTGCTATTGAGTCTCTGGAAGTTGTTCAAAATCTCAGCATTGTGGTGTCTGTTGATTAGTGATATATCTGAGTTTTGAATGTGAAAGACAAGAATCAACCTACCCTGATAAAAATTGTGTGTTGGAATCTGACTCTTTTACTGACAACAAAACTGGCCCAGAATTCTTTTTGTGATCAGCATTGTATGAACACTATTTTAGTTGAATGACAACAAGAAGGCCATCTATTCTTTAAGAAGATTCAGTTCTTTTTAACGTTTTAAACATTATGTTCCAATCTCCTGCTGTTCTTGACATACCTGACTACACAAATGCACTCCCTCATTCAGCTGTATTGAATTGTAGGTCACAATTCTTACACTGCATCACTAAAGGCAACAGAATCTGAAGAATAAGCTTAAAAATCCACAAGCTTATTACAAAGAGTACTGTATTACTCAGTATTACTCTCAATACAGATCCATTGCATTTCACCTGTATGCCAACTTGAAAAACTGAAAAAAGTTCTGTTAACTGTCACATGCTAAGTGTAAATGAGTAACATACAACAGTAAATAAAAACCACACCTTCCTGTCAAAGCAATTTAGTACTGAGCAAAGCAATCTCTCTTGTTCTATAACTAAAAAAAGTCCCAGAATGAGGCGACACTAGCAAAACAGATATAAACATTTACAATGAAGTCTGTAGCCATATTAATTGTATAGCTAGTTACACAAGGAGCAACAAAATAATCTCAAACAGAATTTACTTGATTCCATTTTGTAGGTTAGTTTTAGCACCATCTGCAAACTCTTAATGAGAGAAACCAAGCTAACATTCTTGGATGCCACATTTCACACTCACTGTATTTATTTATGAGATGCACTTTAAGAAATACTTGGCTCCTGTGATAAGTAGTTGAACTAAAATACATCTCAAGGAAAGTGGTGGAAAGAGATGAATAAATGAAAGGAAGGAACAACCTCTGCTGAGAAATGATTTTCAGAATGGGCTAGTATGAATGTCTTAGACTTCTTCAGACACAACCATAGCTCTAATTGTGACCAAGCAGGATGCAAAAGTTTTGTGTCTTTCCCTAGAATTGCCAGACACCTTGCAACTGAGTTAATTCACAGAAATACTGGTGGATGAAGGAGTGCAAACCCAGAAAACACAGACAGAACTAGTGTACATGTACATAACAGCTCTGCAGTGAATTCACAGCATACCAGTGGTTTAAAAAAGTCCTGCTGAACACAGTGTATAGTTAACCTACCAATTCACAGCAAATCTGGACAAAAATACAGCATGTCTTACTGCACATTTCTAGATGCTAGGAGGACTGCTGCCAACAGAACACCACTTAAAGGATCTCTTCAAGTTACTCTCTGAGCTAGCCAGGAAAAGACACAATCTATGTGATAAGCCACAGTGTCTTCAGAATTTTGACCATGCCAAGACTGAGTTCTATTTACTGGTGAACTCAAGTATTAGTAGGAGGCCTTCCAGAATGTACTGCCATGTTAGGCTTCAATTATTATTTTTTTTTTAAATGCTGTCAATTTTTCCAATAGGAACATAATAACTGGAATTTAGAGGGGCAACAACTAATGCTAAACTCTAGAAACAAAGTATAAATTTGGTTCAAGATCACACTACACAGTAAATCTCCAGTACCACTTCACAGCTCAAAACTTTCAAATTTCCACTTGCCTGCTCTAATAATGGCCTCATCTGATGCTCTCTGTCTGTTCTGTCTTAGAAATAGTTGCTTCTCTGTCCTTTTATTTTTTCACTGCTGTTACTTTACATATCTCTGTCACACTCTATTTAACAATCTCATTTCCAGAATGAAGACTCATAGTATATTAAATACTCCTTTTACACAAGCTGATTCATACCTTTCACAGTTCAACACAACTTTCTTTGTCCCCTTCCTAGTTCTACCATTTCCTTTAGAACCAAAACTGCACTCAAATATTCATAAGGTTAATTAACAGACAATATGATGTACAGAACTACAATGAGGATTTTGCTCTTGGGTTTTTTTCTTCTGTAACACTTGATTCTCCTAGTGTATCTCTGATAAGCTATTTGACTAAAGACTCAGTAAACATTAAGGTCCAGAACCAGAGCAGGAAGAATGCTTCCAACCTAATCAGCAAGCGTGAGCACTCTGCCTAAGCTCCTCCCTCAGACTGTGAAAGGAGAATGGATAAATCATTGTCCCTGGGTGAAACCCACTGAGAGGATTCATCAGGGATATTCTCATGCTGAGAACCCATGCTAACTAAAGTGAGATACCAACTATGAGAGTAGGGCTCTTACGGGATGCCAGAGAAGAAGATTCTAGGATTGCATAGAAACCTGCTTACCTTGGACTGTTTACTGGGGAATGCAGGGCTGAGCATAACTTACTATAGGGTGGCTAGGGAAAGGGCCAGTGGTAAGAAATGGAGATATCAAAGCAGACTGGGGAAGAACAAGTAACAGCCAACAGAGGGGAAAATGGGATAAAAGGTGCTACTAGAGTGTGAACAGACTGCAGGCCCATATCATTGTATGACTTGTATCCCTGGCCTCGATCATCTCAGTCTGTAAAGGACTACGGCAGCGTGACAGAAAGCTTCTTGGGGTGTACAGTAAGAAATACTAAGGCATCCAATTACCTCCTTTAAAAATAAACAATGAACAATTTGGTCTGAAGCAGGAGATTTTGAAGTCTTTTTTTAAACTGTTTCTCACAATCTTGCTGCTGGCAGCAACTACTGAAAATACTAATTTCCAACAGAAGTTGTGTGTCATCATAAATTTGGGTCTTCTTTGTAGACCAGAAGAGTTTAATCTCTATTTACTCACACTCAGGGAGTTGCAATTTTCAAGCTTGTTCAGCTTCCTTAAAAAACTGTGTTTCAATATTCAAAAATGTAACTCAATTAAACTAGTGAAACAACGTGAAAAAATTTGGAAAGCTCCTTTATTCCAAACAAATATGAGGACAACTTGCACAGACACAGAAAAAGTGTATATACTCATGAACATATTTTTTTCATTCCAAGTATCTAATAAATAAATTATGAAGTGCATGACTGGAAACGCTTAAGCATGAACTGATGTCAATTAGTTTATTTGAATCTGTGTATCTTTTAAAAAGCAGTACTACACCCCAGTGAAACGTGAGGATTTTATTGATACATTTTTCAAAAGCGCTTTATGCACTTCTATTTTTTCTAAGTTACACAAAAATCATACCTCAGTTTTCAAAAACTTGCTTTCAATTGTTTAATTATTTCAATTAAAGAGGATTTTCAATTTAATTTGCAGTGAACAAACACACCAAACAAAATTATCTTGCTAGTACAAACATTTTAATGAAAACACAAATGCAAAAAACCACTGTACTTTGTAATTCTCAACTTGCTAAAGCAGGAAGAAAAACTGAAATTACCGTAATACAGTTTGGACAGAGATTTTTTTTTAGCCATAGATCAGGAAAAAAGCTATAAGCCTCAAACCATAGGAAGAAGTAACATTTTGAAAACACTCACCATACTTCTTCTAATGTAGTCTATTGCTTTCTTCATATCCATGCCTGACCAGTTATCGAGCATGTAACAGATACAGGAAGCACAGTACACAAACCTCATATCATTCTCACTTCCTTCCAGCACTGCACAGAAACTGAAAGAAACATTTCTGTCTTTAGACACTGTTTCGCCTGTTACACCAGAAAATATGAAATGCAGCTCAAGGAATTGCAGTGTTTTCTTTAAAGATTAGTTTACAGTAATCTCATAAATACAACCCAAAGCTGCACAAGATTTTCTTTTTAGAAGATGTGATTCTAAGCCAAGGAAAATTCATAGAACTATAAACATTTAGGAGCCTAAGTAACTATTTCCAGCAACCTAATGACACTGGGGTTTATTTATTCCAAGATGCTTATGCTTACAGTCCTTCACCTATTACAGTATATACAGATACATGACTTTTTTTTACCTCTTTTGGGCAGAATTCTTTGACTTCCTAGGAATCCTAATAGATCACAAGATTTTCTTTCATTACTGCAACTTAAAGACCAGTTTGCCAGGTATGTATAAAGGTAACTGCTAATACTACCGTTTCGAATACAAGTGGTGAATCAGTTTTTCATTACTTATTGTTACAATCTCACCAAACTCTACAAACATGTTAAAATTTTTGTAACTGGGTTATTTTGGCACAATCTCAGAGACTCCTAAGATGATGATGAATGCCCTGATTTGGATGCTTGTATCAGAAAGCGGCCAGCAGAACCAGGGCAGTAACCATCCCCCTGTACTGGGCACTGGTGAGGCCACACCTCGAGTTTTGTGCTCTGTTTTGGGTCCCTCACAACAAGGAAGACCACTGAGGTGCTGGAGCATGTCCAGAGAAGGGCAGTGGAGCTGGAGAAGGGTTTGGAGCACAGATCTGATGAGGAGTAGCTGAGGGAGCTTGGAGTGTTCAGCCTGGCAAAAAGAACACCAAGGGGACACCTTATCACCCAACTACCTGGAAGGTGGCAAGGTGAGGGTTGGTCTCCTCTCCCAAGCGGGACAGAGGAAATGGCCTCAAGTTGCACCAGGTGAGATTTAGATCATGTATCATAAAAATATTCTTCATCAGAAGGCTTGTCTAGCACTGGAACAGGCTGCCCAGGAAAATGGTGGAGTCACCATCCCTGAAGGTATTTAAAAGACACGCAGATGTGGCACTTAAAGACATGGTTTAGTGTTGCCTTTGGACTTGATCATCTCAAGGGTCTTTTTCAACCTATATGCTTCTGTGATACACAAAAATAAATAAAAGGTTGAATTGCCTGTGACAATAAATAGATCTTTAATTGTTTATTCCGGGATTTGCTGCTTGGCCTCCAATTTGATTCAAAGAGCTAGTTAGCATCCTCTGATAACTTAGCTATTTGTAAGAAGCCAGCATATGTTCTATGACTCATATTATTACCAATCAAACTATTTTCTAACTACTACTTCTATAAAAAAACATGTTTCTTATGTGTTATTCTACATGTGGGAGCTGTGGGAGTTGCAGCATATAAAATGTCTTTTACCTTCCATCCTCCAGCTGGAGAGCTCTCAGTCCTGCCAGTATGGCATCTTTATTTACTCGACTTAAATCATCTCCAAGAATAACCAGACATGATAATCCTGTGTAAGTCATTGCTATGTGCCCACTGTCATAGGGATGAGATATACCTGGACCCTAAAAAAAGAGGGAAAATATAGAAATATTGAAACATCACAAAATCTTACACTACAGCAAAGCTTTTGTTGTTGTTGTTGTTGTTGTTGTAAAGGCAAGAGGTAAACAAATTACTTTTCCCTTCACTCATTATGGTACCCTGCTCAGCTTTCCTCATCAAACTCTGCTCAACTTTCCTCATCAAACTAAGTTGTTCATCATAACTGCCGCTCTTCTAATCACTTGGTCAGTAGAAAGCTTTGGAAAAAAGCTTTGCCAAGAGCTTCATCTGCCAAACCATTAAGAAAAAAGATGGGATGTCCTCAACTGTACCTAAGTTTGTCCTGACACTGGGCATTAACTTCCTGGCAGCTGGGTAAGCACTCTTAAACAACCAAACCTCTGGAGGGCTCCTCAGCAGAGATATTACAACCTAATGCTCTACATGAAGAAAGCAGTGTGAGTAATTACTAGTAATCTCTCTGTCAACTGAAGCAATACCAAATTAGCCATTTATCTACTTTCATCTCTATTTTAAAATAATAATCAGAGTTCAAATGAAGTATTTATAATACCAAATAATCACAGAAACACACAATATCTGTAGCTGGAAGGTACTCACAAGGATCACTGAATGTCAACTGAGAAGCGAAGATGTTAATTAAAGGCTGACTAGTCCCACAATACAAGTCATAGAAATGAGCAAGGGATTGATACCTGTGCTAAAACTAGTATTTTTCTTTATGGTATTTTATAGGCCCATCCTGGATTGTACCACTCCATGAAATCTGAGACCACGTGTAACAAAGTGACTGTGGATACTTGGGATGGTTCAGTTTGGAGCAGCTGGAAGATAACTATTTAAAACATAATAAAAACTATTTAAATACTGAGTAGATTTTTAAATGATATTTAAAATTTTATTTTCAATGATATTTAAATGGTATTTTACTAGTACTATTGCCTAATCAGTTACAATTTTTATTTTGCATTTCATCCTAAAAACACAAGAAAAAAAATAATATTATGTTATGTGTAATTGGTATTTTTCAGGCAAGTCATGCTTATTTCCAAAGCCAAAAGGCTTTGCTTCTAGTAAGAAACTAGGAGAAAAATTGTTATTACCCACCAGACAGCAAGAGACTGCTCTCACACAAGGGAATCAAAGATGGTTGGAAAAGGGAGGCAGAAAACCAGATGAAATGGGCTCAGCAGCACTGAAAAAGCTATGTAACAGAGAAGGAGAATGGGAGAGTGAGTGCAGAGTGCTGCACCTCCTCTCCCTTATTTCCAGTCCTGGACCCTGTCTTGAGGAGGCAGTACAAATCTCAACAGCTCCCACTCCCATCCCTGTGCTGCCAGTGCCCTCATCACTGTCTCTTACCCTGCACATTAAATAGACATACAGAGCACATCAAATTGCCTTTGTAAAGTGGTCTCTACTGACTTGAGCTAATGCACTGGTGCAGACATACTCTGAGAAGAAAACAAAGTGGGTATGGCCAGGGTCAGCTGTCTATGCACTTTGCCTTTTGTGAGAATTAGTCTGTAGATCCCACAGGAGACAGATTTACTTGGATCTCAGAGAGGGAGTAAACAGTTCTGTTCTACTGAACATCATGTTTTCCAAAATCCCAGTCTTCTTTAGAAGAGTAAACACGTGAAAGACATAAGTTGTGGGGAAGCTTTCAAACATTTAAACTTGACTCAGTGATGTGACAGTGTTCCCTACTATATCAGTTAGAACAGCTATTAAAATATAATTCATGGCCACCAAGAATTCCCACTGACCACTGCAGAGCTAAAAAACTCTGCTGCAGAAGCATGGGCAAGATTTCTTCAAACACTAATAAAGAATGCTACTAGACATGCATTTGCACTGGCATAGTCCCACTTTCAAGAAGCTTTCTTCTCACACCTTGGTTCACTGTTGTACCAAGACAGGGCTCCTTCACCCAGAGTGCCAATCCACACGTGGAGTTAAGTGGTTTTGACGTATTTGCACAGAGGCATGTGCTGGGTGCTAAGTACTCCAAGCCAAGACACCTGGTTACAGCCAAGAAGCACAATTATGCTTTCAAAACATTAGTATGCAGTTATCTAATTTCCAAATGCATGCCTACTTAATAGTCATGGGATAACCAATCTTTTACATGCTTTGAAGTATTTCACAATACATTTTGCAGGTGTTCAGTTGGTAGGGGTCTTCACTTGTATGTGGGTAGCCTCAGCTTTAGAGGTGTGTTTTCCACATTATAATGACATAAATTCATCTAAAGCACATGATTTTAGCTGATTTAGCTAATTTGTGTAAAACTTAGGGTCCCAAATGCAGTATCTAGGCACTAATACAAGGTGTCTCTGCTACTGTAATCTCTTTACTCATTTCAAAACTATTCTGCAAGACCTTGCCATTTCTCACTTTGTGGAACTACAAAATGGCCTGGGTTGGAAGGGACCTTAAAGTCATTTAGTTGCAACACCCCAGAGACACTTTTCAGTAGACCATGTTGCACAGAACCCCTGAAAATATAATACAGAGATGTTTGCTTAAAATAAAAAAATATATGTAGTACAAAGACATTTTGGCCCAGGCTTACATGGGTCTTTATGGTATTTATCTTACATTTACTTTTATATTCTACTTATTGTTATCTTTTTCGTGATTCACTCTGAAAATATTTTTAACTATTCTTCTTTCATCAGTATCAGTGTTGCAGCCTTGAAAAAATACAATGTTGTGTCTGGAACACAAAAGTTATCTTTTTCCCCCCAAATGAAAGCATATGTTAATTACCACAATCTTACATAAAAGTTGCAGCTATTGGCTTTCAATTTAGCCTTAAAACTGATTCACAACACTTTAAACATACTGAAAAGATCTAGACCTATCTGAAACTTTGAGGAGACTGTTCACCCCAAAATTAAAAAGCTAGTTTAAACTTCAATAACACCAAATTAGAGAGACTGTAAAATCTGGAGCCATTTCAGTACATAATTATTTTTTAATCCTGAAAGTAATCATGTTTTAACTGTGATGATAGACAAGTCATTCTTAGCCTTCATTCACAGTTAAGACTGTTACATTTGTGAGGGTTGTGCTGTGAGCTGTTGGATATGCTTTTGTTTCACTTTTGCTTCTGTCCCAAAATACTGCAAAGAGCCTACTGTCAAACACCTCAAAGGCAACAGCTAAAATACCACAGCTCCCCAACCAAACCCAAATGACCTCTCCTTGAGAGATTCAGTAAAGCTGGATATCCTAACATAACCCTTGCTTTTTTCTACTATTTTGAAGGGTCCCTAGTGACTGAATAGATTTGGCTACCTCTGGTATGGCACCTTCTTAGAGTTCAAAAATGAAATCACTGCAGTGGCATGTAATGATAGCAAATGTCAATGCAAATCCAAAATGCTTACATGATTTTTCTAAAAAAAAAAAAAAATTCAAGGCAGATTTAACAGAACACTTTCAAATAATGAAAAAATAAAAATGATGTGATCATAAACACATCCCGAGTGAATTTCCAAGTCTTTTTTTCTGAGTTATTTCAGAACATTTCAGGCAACAGTGCTGGAAATGCTTTAAACCTTTCTTTGCCAATAAATCAAACAGATGGAATCCCTCAAATGCAGATACAATGAAAAAAGTAGTGCAATACTTGAATAAAAATCACATCCATGTGCAAACAATTTTCTAGTGGTAGTGACCTTGTAGCAAATTGTACAGAAAACATGATTCCACCCCTCTATCTCATATGTATATTGGCCAACACATTCTAAGACACTAATGGACTGCAATATATTCCCAGAAAAGATAATATTTCAGTATGAAGCATTTGCTGTTGGAAGTTGACAATTAAATTAAAACACCAGAAATTGCTGGGAGGGGAAAACAATGCTCTGCCTATCTTACAGCCTTTTTTTCTTCATGGCACTTTACAAGACCTCAGAACTATATCCAGAATAAACTCTTTTGCCTTCATACACTGAGGAGGATTTGAAAGAGGTTCCTAAAAGAAAGCACTGATTTAAAGTACTACACTGTAGAGCTGCTAAAGGTATGATACAGCTGGAAAAAGGAAAGTAGAGGCCAGTGTGCAGGAAGGACTGTGAAAGAAGTACAGAAGTTCTGTCCTGTGTTTGAGAGCGACGAATAAAATTGCATTGAAAAGTGGATGAAAAAATCTGTGGGAGCACTAAACTGGCCTCTGCCAACCTCATTTCTATCTCTTATTAAAGGCATTTTCTTTTCATATCAAAAGTTTAACTCTCTTGAACCCCAGTTCACTGGACTTCAAAGCATTTCTTATGGCCATGACAAACAGGGATGAACAGAGCCTTGCCTAAGTCTGTGTGGGTATCAGATACAACCAAACACACATGATTCAGCACAGGAAGAGAAATACCAGTTGCAGCTGCAGATGCTGACTTTGGAAGAAACAGTTAGGCCCTGTCTATTAATGCATGCCTTCCTGTCTGGTGTCACTGCCCAGATTTAAGGTGTTTTTTAAACAACGGGATGGCCTACATGGCACCAAACACATTGGCATCAGATGGGATTCCTTTTCCAAAACCTTTCTCAAAGGACCCAGACAAGCTCCAGAAGTGGGTCATGAGAACCTCATGAGATCTAACATGAGCAAGTGGAAGGTGCTACACCCATGTCAGGACAACACAGACTGGGAGGGTACAGACTGGGCAAAGAAGTCTTTGAGAGCCATGGGTTTGGGGACTTGGTGGCTGAGATGCCAGACATGACCCAGCCATGAGCACTCACAGCCCAGAAAGCCAAACATGGCCTGGGCTGCATCCAAAGCAGTGTGGGCAGCAGGGGACAGAGGGAATTCTGCCTCTCTGGTGAGACCCTGTGTGAAATGCTGTGTCCAGCCCTGAGGTCCTCAGCACAGGAAGGATGGGAATCTGTTGAAACACATCCAGAATAGGTCATTAAGCTCATTAGAGGGCCGGAGCACCTCTCCTGTAAGAAAAGGCTGCAAGAGTTGTCACCTGTCAGCCTGGAAAAGAGAAGGCTTTGAGATGACTTAATTGTGGCCTTCCATTTCCTGAAGGGACACTACAGGAAAGATGGAGAGAGACTTTTTTACCTGTGTGCAGTGACAGGACAAGGGGAATGGCTTCCAACTGAAAGAGGGCAGGTTTAGATTACGTATCAGGAAGAAATTCTTTACTGTGAGGGTGGTGAGGCATTGGAACAGATTGTCCAGAATCCCCATCCCCAGAAGCATCCAAGGCCAGGCTGAATGAGGCCCTGAGCAATCTGCTCTAGTGGAAGGTGTCCCTGCCTGTGGCAAGATGATAAGAGCTAAATGATCTTAAGCGCCCTTTCCAGCCTGAACCTTTCTGTGATACCAAAGAACAGCACATTCTGCATCACACTTAATTAGGGCTATTCTGCCCTTCTCTACCTCATGACAATTCTTCAGCTAGAGAAGTTTTCCTTTGTCATTAAAAGACCAGAGAAGGAGGAGACTGCACTGAGATAAGCTACAATTTCTATGTCAGTTTCTTCACTGCTGTGAGAATTGAAGTTTTAGGTATCATTTCAGTATGTTTCTTATGCACATTTCTTAAAAGTTCTGCAAACATTTCAGTATCAACAATACCAAATTCCATGCGTTCCAGACATTCTGTAACTATGCAGTTAACATTATTTAAATAAAAAATACTTTATTAAAGTATTTTTATTATTATTTATATTTTAATATAAATAATAAAAATATTTGTATATATTAATAAATATATGTTACATTAAATATATAGTTATTAAAAAAAGACACAAGATCATTTATTGCTTAATTAAAAACATTTCACATACACATTCTTAACTGACCTTGGAGGGATTGAATGGCATCCCTAAATATGAAGAACCTCTGAATCCACAGCGATTCATGTTTGATCCTGGAAAAGATTAAAACAATACTCAACTAATTTGTTTCATTGAAACATTCATTATAAACCATAATTCTCTAATGAGATCAAGACCCGTTAGTTCAAGACCATTCACAGCCTTAATGAAGTGTGCATGTGCCTCTCAGTTCCCAACCTCAGTTTGTTATCTGATTAACAAAAAAATAATGAAAACCACAAGCAAACTTAACTTACTTACTGCTGCAGTGACAAAACACAAAGAATCAAGGTTTTTTGGGTTTTTTTTTTTTTTTTTATTTGGTGGAAATACAGTCTGTATCACCACAGATTTGTCTTCCATGCTCACAAGAAAAAAAGGGAAAAGGGCTGCTCCCCTGGGAAAATGGCCAGAGTTAACACGGGTTTTTTTATTCCTCTCTGGATTCCTGCCTGGCAATACCGTCTGTTCCCAAGCAGAACTGTTTCAAGATACTTCGCAACATGTTCAAGGACAAACAATTCGCAGTTTTTAAGCACATTGTAGCTACCACACATTTCTGTCAGTGATACAGAGTAATTAGTTTTAAACATGTCACAATACCTGAGCATGTAGCACATAGAAGTGTGAACCACACACAGTCAAGAGTCAAGTACAGCTTTGCAGAGCTCAAACTTGCTTTTGCTGGCAAAACCTCAGTTTACTGCTCAGTGTCTGAAACTAAAAGCCTAATGAATGCCACAAAGAGCAGCTGAGTGTTCTTAAATTTTCTCCACCTCTTTTAATTTATTCAGTCTTTAAGTTAAAAATCCCAATGAATATTAGGGAAAATTGCACCAGAATAAATAAAAATTAATAGTTATAAAGCTGAAAGCTCTAAGTAACATCACAACATGTAATGTGGCCTACAAGCTCTGGTGTAATTTAGCAGCATATTACCTTCTCACTCTAAATACACTCTGTATATATGCAAAAATTAAACTAAGAAAGGTTTTATTAGCTTAAGAATTTTGACTAGGCAAGTTTCTCTGCAAGACAAGTCTTTGGATTTCACTGAAATGGAGCGAAACACCTGCAATTTTCCACTTTCTCCACAGTTCAGTCAAAAGTACTTTTTAATGATTCTACACAAAAGCAGCTTCAGCCTACTTAAAAGCTGGTGTGCCATAGTCGGATCCACACAGAGGAAACAGAATAAAAAAAAATAATAACTGTTTTATTTTATTATAATACAAACATTCTCAGCAGAGAACATTTGTATGTTCACTTGCACAGTCAAAATCTTTCATTTCATGTTGCCTCAGCCTCTATAAAGCACAAAAATTACATGAGCCTTAAAGACTAATCTAAGATCCTGAAGAATACTGCCCCAAAAAGCATCACAATTTCAAAATGACACAATGTGAACAAATTAGTAAGGGAAGGCCTAGAATTCCTGCCTGGTAAATCCCAGATTTCCCAGGTGACTTCATGGAAAAAAAAAACAAAATCACTGTTCACGTTCCAGGAAAAATGAATCTGTGTCTCAAGTGCTTAAGCAAACTAGAACAGTCTGAAATGACACTAGTGTGGAAACCCTCCATCCAGAAAAGAGTTATTACACTTCTAACACAGTTATTCTGGCCTGCTGCAAAGGAAACATGTTAGAATTAAGACAGCTCTGCACTTGAAAAGAACTCGGTTGACAGTTGCTAGATGGAAGGATTCATCTCAGAAATAGTGATCCTCATTACTGGCCTTCTGGAGTGGAATTTATAATTCCTTATAGGGGTAGAAATGGCAACATGAAACTCAAGTTTGTATGCTGTTAGTGCATCACTTTGATCACCTTCCGAATTCACAGATGCTATACAGACAGATTAAAAACAAAGTACATGAAAGTACATCAATGAACATCTTTGGATATTCAATTTTCATGCAGTATTTTAAAACCTTTCTTGCACTACTAAACTTCTACCAACTAGAAAACAGCATTTGCAATTTTAAAATTGGATTTAAAGTTGGGTTTCTAACAGTATTGCTATGAATTTAAAATCTATCTTGACATTTTTTGTCAGTACTTCTCTTTTCCCACTCTAAACTTCACACACTGGCTCCTAGAAAAAAACCGAAGACCACCAGCCTACCCTTTAGGGAAAACTTTAGGGCAAACTTTTCAGGGAATTTTATCCTGTCCTCAAATGCATTAATTTGCAATAGATGCTTCCTAGACCTTGGTATTACAAGTGAGTTGCTAAATCTCTAGTCACAATACAAAGTATTGAAGTAAAAAATAGAATTCTGACTTGATAAAGGAAGCATTAAAACAGGAAGTAAAAAAAGCTTGTTTTAACCACATGACTCTAGAATACTGATGCAGTGTCTCAAAATGTTTTTTTAGCACCCTGTGAACATACAAATGAGAACCAAAGGTGAGTTACAGGAAATTACTGTCTTTCAGTTTATGAAAGAAACTTTACAATGCGAAATTTCATCTTCTGTAAAATTTGCTTTACTATTTTATTGAAATGTACTTGTACTTTTTGTTTTATGTAATAGCTTAGTATTGCTAATCAAACTCTTCATTTTCCTGAACCAAAAATGGGCTGTGAGAACCAGAAATGGAATTAAAAATTAAAAGACCCAAATTAAGAAGATGTGATTACAGCTTATGTCCCTTGGGAAAAAACTGCTGGAGCGGTCAGTTCAGCTCCAGCAGTTTAGTGTGCATCAGTTCAACTGCAGCTGTGAAACGCTACCACCTGGTGTTCACTTCCACCATTAACCTTACCTAGCCACTCTGTGCAGGAGCTCAACATCGAGCAAAAACTTACAAATATTTCATAAACTGCTGTGTAACTATTTGTGGTGGTTTGAAACCTGAAAAAACACACCTGGAAAAACTTTTCACATTTGACAACTAAAGAATATCGACTCTCTTCCAAAACCAAAAGACTTCATGCTTAAATCAAAAGCTGAAACTTTCCTGTGATGTTACTTGTGTGTCCTGTGTCCTTAAGACATGTAGAAGAGCTTCGAGTGATGACCACAGACAACTTATCCTAAAAGCTCTTTTTTCACAGACAGGGTATTTTAGTTATTTTTATTTTATGATATCTCTTGCATAGAAGGATTGATAAACTTTTAACACCACTTCTTCACATTCAGATTATCCATGCATTCCTCTGGTTGCAAGGCTTGTCTCCTTTTGCTAAGTACTGGAGTTTCCATACATTACTAAAATTTTATAATATATTAAGAAAATAGCTTTAGCATAGGCTGAGTCAGTCAGTACATCCAGATAAAAGTAAGCATAAGCTCTTCTCACTGAACTAGAGCTTGTAATTGTTCCCATAAATCAAAGTACTAGAGGATGTCACTAAATGCAAAGTTGCATTCTCTAAAATGGAAGTCCATTACACATCCAGGTAAGTACTTAAAATGCAACCATAAGAGAAAGTTATGCTTGAGGAAAATTTGTGTTTTTGCTCAAGAAACTCATGATCAGAAAGCTCACATGTATCAATGATTTCAAGAGAGTCAATGTCGTTTTATACATTTTTTTTCAGTACTGCTACATAAGAAGAAATTACTATAATTCCATTAATACAAGTCTAAATTTAGGCCTTGAAGTGAATTTTAGATCTATCATGCAGCATACTGGTTTTCAGTCTCCATGGGTCCTGGGGATTCAGACCTACAAATAAAAGGTTTCAGCGTTCCTTTAGGTTCCATTCCTTAGTACAGCAAAGCTAGTGAAGCATCCAGCTGTCAAAAAGTACAACTCTCCTCCCTCTCCCTTAGTGGGCTGGCACTCCCAGTCAATACAGTTCACCAATGCAACACAAAGCTAACCTTCTGTTAGATAAATAAATGTGTGTTTTTCTGCCACTTCAGCAAGCTCTCAAGCAGGGTCAAACAAATGCCACTGTTCCTATGGGGAAGGATGGTAGATGAATATGGCCAAGCAGTGTGCTTCCACTGTATAATTAGATTGCTTGAGTACAAAGCTCTGGATTCAGTCTCTTTTGAAAGTGCTGAACTGGCTCTGAATGTGACTTTCAAGAAACTGGAATACATCTTTCTTAAATTCCTATGAGTTGCACTTTTGGTAGTTAAAACGAATTTGAAATTCTGTCAAGGAGCTGCACTATGAGAGGAAAAACAGAAAAGCACTAACATGATAAGGATCTTAAGAACAAGCAACGAGTTAAGAGGGTGTTTCATCAACCCTTTCCAAATTTCACTAACACTTCAAAAACTAATGTCTTAACCTAAAAATGTGTAATTTCTGGTTAGGCTTGTAAAAGAATATTACCTTTCTCAAAATGAAAAAAGAAAAAAGTACTTTTTAAGATTTCAACTTCTTTCTAGGAGAAAATATAGTTAGGTATTCTGGCAGCAAATGCACATAGAAAACAAAAACACATACTAGATATCCATATAAGCAAAGCATTCACTAAAAGGGAAGGAAAGGTAACAATTGACAAATCTATGCAAGATAAAGCCAAACTATTTAGCATAAGTTAACGAAGACAGGGGCCCTTAAAACAAGCAGAAGGCAGCAGTAAGTGGAAGCATTCAGCTAAGAATGTGTTTCTGTGTGAAGGTCAGTTTGCACAAGTGACACGCCATTCCCTCCAAATTAGAACTGGTATTGAGCCAGTCTCTGGAAGACTTGAAGTAAAATTATGGTACCTAGAGGACATTATTTGTTTGAATCACAGGTACAATAAACCCACAGAAGAATACAGTCTATCCCGGCAGATCCTAATCTTCAGCTTCCTCAGTACATTTTGATTAGGCTGACAGAACTATGTTTGCTTTCTTACTCAGTAGATCAAGATCTCACTACTAGTGAGCTTTAGTTTCACATAAAATTTCAAAGGCTATAAACATCTGAAGTGAAGCCATCATTAGCCATCAGATATATGTATATATACAGTAAATAGAGTCAGTTAGAACTATCACAGGGTACTGTGAGACTTTATCTAAGAAGTGCTCTAAACCACCAAATTCTGAATTTTCTAGCAGGTTTTCTAACACTCTCCTGCTGTGAGTTGACTCCAACCAGCAGCTGAAAACAGCAAGAAAACAGAGAGGTGAAGAGAAGACTCACAGAGTGAGACAGAGACAGTTTGATAGGTGAAGCAGAAATTGTGGGCACACAGCAAAGCAAATGATTAATTTACTACTTTCTATCAGCTATGCAGGTGTATAGTCACTTCCTGGAAAGCAGGGCCTCAAAAAGTGTAAGGGTTACTCAGGATGACAAATGCCAGAACCACAAATATCGCTCCCTTTCTCCTTCTTTTCCCAAGCTTTTATTGCTGAAAATGATGTCAGATAGTGTGGAGTGTCCCTCTGGTCAGTCCTGAGGTCAGCCTGGATCAGCTGTCCTGGCTGTGTCCCCTGCCATGGGAAAAGGAGTGCAGAGGAGGCAAAAAGAGCCAGCCTTGACTGGCACTTCTCAGCAATAGCTGAAAGACTAGAACACTCTTTTAGTACCAGCAGATTAACAGAGCAGATTAGAGACCCCTATGAAAAAAAATAATTCTAGCTAGTACACCTACTGTAACAGTTATTGATAAAAATAAACAGATACTAAGTTTGCAGAGCACCAACTGCTCTGTCCCCCATCTACTGGAAAAAAGACTGTAAGGTAGCAGTAGTTCTCAAAACAATTTGAATTCAGTATCTTAAAAGAAATGCTTTAAATAAAAATCAAGTTGAGAGCTGTGCATAAAGGAACCTTTGGAGGGACAAACGTGAAAAGCAGAGAAATTTCTTTTTCTAATAAGAATTACCAGAATTCTCTTTTTGGCTGATACCGAATTTTAGAAATTCAACCCCTGATACAATCAAGAACAAATCCCAAGATTCTGTAAAAACATATTCCTGTATAAAATGTAGCTTTATAATTGGTTTTCAGTCCCATAGCCAAATTTGGTGAAGACTTTTATCTAATAAAATGCAGTTCCCTTAGATTGGTGGAATTCATCATTATAAAACAGTACTTTAATTTAAATTTTTAAAAACCAATACCCCACAGAAAGAGATTTATCAGAATGCATGAAAAAAATGCTGCAATAGGATGTTTTCTTAAAAGTAAAATGTTGTGCTTTCTTGGTTTTGGTTTTTTTTTTTAACCCAGATAGATTCCAATCTATCAAGCTAGCAATCTCCTCTTTAACTAGAGATGCACAAGTACTTCTGAAACCAAAAATTTCAGTGCTGTAGCCTACCACAGTTCAGTTACTTCTTCAAAGAGGCCAAAAGAGGGAGCAGGAGCTCTGCTTCTGGAAGGCTGCCAATTAACAAACACTGCACCCACCCAGGATTAAAAAAGAGAACCAATACGTTTTACTGGAAGTAGACATTACTGGAGTGTAGGTGTTTCCTTCCTCACATTTGGTCATTCAATATCCAACCTGCTGGTATAAGCATCATTTACATTTTGCACTTTCTATTGTCCAAAATTAAAAAAATTAAACACAAGTAACACTGAAGTTTTAGTGGTCAAATGACCAAATAAGAGCAGGGAAATTACCAAAAGCGTAAGAAGAACAAGAGTTATTACAGAATGATACAAAAATACAGCAGTGAGGGAAAAGTTTGTTCTTCTAGTGAAAAGCAGAGATATATTACTTTGCACAGAGTGCACTGCCAAGAGTCCCCTCCCCAAAACTCCCCTCAGTTTTGTGAGGGGATGATAGCTAGAAAAAGAAGGAGCACATCTCTGCTGAACTGTCAGCCCCCACATGTACATGCTGCGATTTTTACTGCCCTCCCTAGGAGGCTCTCGCAATGACAATATTCTAAACACTGGCCAGGTAGAACCCCCAGAGAATTACTGTATACTGTGTCAAGGACAAACAAACAGAAATGTCCGTTCTAATCTCTCCTCTTGCAAACTTTCCTGTTCTTCTGGAATTAAGTCATGAAGACTGGGATAAAAGTCAAAAAGTGAGCAACTCCTAGAAACAAAGCATGCACACCATGGCAAGATTTCTTAACAGTAAGGCACAGGAACCTTCTAATCATTAAAAAACTTTGTAGGAATATTCATGTAATTCAAACTCCTAATTTTCAGGAATCAATCCTGGAATACAATACAAGAAAAAATAAATCTATCAGAACTAGTTCCTGTGGAGGATCTGATGGTTTCTAAATCTCCAGAGTAAGAAAAAAGAGGTTTTTTATTACTGTAAAAATAAAGCATCAGCAGTACTGACTTCCATATGCTTATTTCATAAAACTGATTTGAGACCTAATTTGTTGTATATAATTACAATAGACAATAGAAGGAAACATACCATTTTCTTTCCACATCCATCCAAAGTACATGTTCATGATTTTACTGACAGGCTAATGGAATTGCCTTTTCGCTAGACACCACCAGCCTAGAGCTATGCCCACAGCAGCATTTAACATGCCAGCACCTTCTGTCATAGAGCAGCAGTGCCTCACCTACGTCTCCCTCCCTCCTTCCCATCCATTCTAGTGCTACCAGCCAGTCACCTGGGCTGCCACAAAAAAAACCTGCCAACACCAAATAACCTGCAAGAACAGCACCTCCCTAACTTCTGTCAAATTCTGAAAGGGACATTTCCCGTGAGTTCCCTTGCCACCTTTTCTGCTACACACCTTCTAATCTGAGGACAGCTGGGATTCAGCAGCAGTATTATTCCTTCTCAAAACCTTGTTTAAATTCAACCTTCAAAGAGCTAAGGAACATCAGTCAGGGACTGTGTTTAACCTTTTTGCTTCTTACCCTTACACCTCCAATTCTCCAAAAGCTGTTGTAAATAACCACACCTGTGATCACAGCTCCTGGCATTGGAGTGGAAGTCAATATAATCACTATTAGACTTGTAATACTTTCACAACATATGCATTTATTTTACAACCAGGTGAAACATCCTTCTGAAATGCCTAAAGGTGCAACTTTATCATGCTATTTTATACTTATACTGGCTTATCTTCAAATTAATTTCTGCTTTTTCTAGCTTTATCATTTATGAGAGATCTATATCCAAGATTTGCTCAACATCACTACCTGAAATTATCAGGACTGCACTTCAGGAAGGTCAACCTTGTATTTTATAAAAACAAGAGCCATTCGCTATTCCCCAAGTAAAAAGCAAAAGTAAAAATGTTAATATCAATAAAAAAAACTAAAAACTCACTCACTGTCTTCTGTGGGAAGGACCTGAAGGGAATAAATCCATTCTATTATATCATCTTTGTTCACCACATCTAAGGAATCCAACATATCCAGACCAGAGAGTGCGAAAAATGCAATTGTCAACCTAAAAGAAAAAGATAAGACTTACACTTCCCACCATAAATATCATGGGGAAATTAACAAACGGTTGCAGCAACAGATACATCTATGAATTCAGTCTTTGACAGTGGTGCAACACAGAGCCTAGCTTAGAATACATAAAAGTCATCTACTCGACAAAATAATGTTCTTTGTACTGAAAACATTTCTCTGCCTCAACAAGGTTTTTCATATAAGCTGCCCCTCCTTTTAAACAATAATGATATTCAATCAGACCTAAGGGCCTGTTCACCTGAAAGAAAACCCCAACAAAACAACCCACTACAAAGTAAACTAGGTTATAGTATTAACATATGGAGCACTAGTTCTCCATGAAGAATTCTTACATGAACAATCCCCTAAACATTAGGTACACATGCAAGCTAACCCTTAATTATAGTAATCTACCTCTCATTGTATCCCAAACTCAATTTCAGATGCTTAGATGTCAATGTCAAACAGCAAAGCCTACTTTGTAAGCAAACAATGCATAAATAGGTACATGGGGTGAATTAACATTTAGAGGTACTTATTTCTAGTCCTTGGGTGTAAAGCAGCCTAGCTGACTACCTTACTTAAACATCTAAAACTAAGCATGTGATATTCAAACATCCAACAGAGCAGTGGAGTAGTTAGCATGCTGAATGTCCTTCTTTCTTACAACTTGTTTCCTTGCACGAATGACAGCTATCATACCTGCTAGCTAACACCTTCTTTGCTGGGTTTAGCTCAAACCATTGCAGCTACCCACAGCATGGCCACTCCAAACAGTGCATTATTCACTCTGACAGAGCACCAAAACAACAGCACTGGGTTAGGAATTTGGTAGAACTTGCTGTGAGAGAAAATGCTCATGTAATGGTACCTTGGATGTTCTGACTCAGACTAAAATTAGCTGAATGTATATTTCACCGCCCACACTTGTCTGCTGATCCTTCTAGAAATTCTTGTTCTCCTTATACCAGATAAGATGATGGACTGTGAAACAACTGTTACACATGCAGAAACTACAATTCAGCATACTAAGGAAAACCAACCGTTAATACCAACTTTCCTTACAAGTTTTAATTCCTATTTACCTCACAAACTGGTCAGCCACCTTGGCCACCAGTAGTTGGTGCCTCTAAAGAGACAGATGCGAACAGCAGCCTCTACAGCCACTTAATTTCTGCATGAGGTTCTGCATCAGAACCACAAACAGTAAGACCATGGAAAAAATGGTGATGTGAGCCCAAAGCACACATCCAAAAGAATTATTCTAATTAAAACACAGCAGCCAAATGACAATGCAGCAGATGCTCATGTCAGTACAACGGCACAACCTCCTAGGGTGACATGCCTACCAGTGGGCTATATATCTTTATTGTTATTATTTCAAATAAATTTTTTGAGTAGAGAAAGCAAAAAAAAAAAGTATGTTGCACACAAAATTATTTCTATGTAGAACAAGAGTACATTTTAACTCTTCTGATGACTAAGAAATTGTCTTTCAAAGTGCAAAATTAACACTTCAAGGCTTATATCAACTTTTACCATTGATCAGATCTCTGTTTAAACCCAAATCTGACCCTGCATAATAAATAACTAATTTTAAAAAATCACTACTTTTATTAAAAAAACCCAAGGAATTACTGTTCACCTACAATAAACTATTTCTTTGAAACATTGCCTGTATGTTCTGATTTTCACAGACACTGACAATTTAATTTACTAGACCTATTAAGAATACATTTTCACTCTATTTTACCCAGCTAAGTTGCTTCCAATCAGGCACAAACAACATGCCAACATCAGCCAGCACTAGAAATTGCTGCAAAGTAGATATAAAATCACAAGGCATACAACACAGACAGCAAATCTCATCTACACGTAATACACCTCATACCCATAAAAATGGGTATGTCATATGTATGAATTTAAAAAGTGGTTTTACATATAGTTAGGGTTCCGTTCATTTATTCAGAGTTGACTATCTCCAGCATTACTAAAGAACAGCCTGTAGTGTGATGGAATTTATTTACAGTGGGCCAGAGTGGCACCACTGGCCAAACACGGGCTGCAACACAGCTGTTTAGGCACCGCATCTTTACTCCATATGCTATCCTCCCTCATAGAAAATTAACAGATATATGTCCTAGCAAAAACAACTCTTGGCAGCACCTCAGGTGACAAGACACATGCCAAGAAGTGTAAAAACTTTATCTACAGCCATTTCAATAGAGGATGGCCAACAGGACACTTTGGATGGCAGATTCAGATGCCTTTGTCTTTAGGTGAGGAAAAAGACTATAGTTTCACAGAATTCAGAAAGCATTTGAAGTGACAAGTTTGAGAAAATTATTTAAGTGTGCTACAAAGAGCACCATGAAGTACCAGACTCTTAAAAGACTTTTAGAGACCAGGAAACCTGCATTCTCCTGCAAAACCTCAGTGCTGACAATCAGTGTGCATGAAACACTATCAATCAGAATACTTAAAAACTACTCTTGCCGCAACTACTGTTGCATCCAAATAACTACAGATAAAAATAATTACAAAGGCTTTGAGGCAAAAAGTTGAGTAGAGAACATGAAGTGATTTTTCTTTATTCCCCATTATTGTTTGACAATCTACAGCTTAAGTTGGAATGCACCAGCACAGTGAGAAAAATTTCACTCTCTAGCACCCTTGTCTGGTGACAAGAACAAGAGCTTTATACTGCATCACAGTGAAAAAAAAATCTGACAAATTATTTATTTATTTAACAAATCTCTCCTTGATTTAGTTGACTTTCCCCATCTAACTCAAAATGGAACCACTCCAATTTGAATAAAAGGGTAACAGCATTTTTTTCTGCAGCTGTATCAGCTCCAGAGGTTTGTTGAACTTGGTGACCTTGAACTTGGCAAAAAGGGAAACTTAATATCCTTGAAGTCAAACTGGAGATGATGCATTTATAGCTCAATCCCACACTTAGAATTTGTCAACAGACAGGTGTGCACCCCTGCAGAACATGTCTACATTGTCATGGGCCTCTGGAGATCACTGGTCCCACCTTTTGAAGAACACAGGGCCTCAGAGACGACCCAGGACCTTGAGAAGCCACGTCCTCAAAAGTGACTCCATCACTTCAATAGGGAAGCTCTTCATGGTTAATTCTTCTAACAGTGAGAACATTTTTCCTGCAGCCACACAATTCTCCCTGACATACCCACTCCCACAGCCCCCTGCCCCGTTACCATGGTCCCTTGCAAACAGTACACTTCCATCTTTCTTGGTAGGTAGTTTCCCACAATGGAGGACTGTGATTAGATCCCTTCTTCTTTAGGCTGAAGATATCCCATTTCTTTCGCTGCTTTCAAATGTCAGTGGGGCTAAGGTTAGCTATTTGTGTTATAACTCTAGTAGATCTACATGCTGTGGTAATTTTAAGGCCTATACAAGTTGAGCATAGGATGCTAGACTTCCCCTTGCTGACACCTAAAATAAATGAGAAAGTAGACTGAAATACCAGCTAGTTTTTAATGAATAAATTATTTATAGCTCTGCAACCACAATTTTATAAAATTATTTATAGAATAGCTATAATAGAATAGCTGGGGTTCGAAAAGATCTCTGGAGATCATCTAGTACAACCCTCTTCTCCTAATGCAGGTTCATCCACAGGATTGTGTCCAGGCAGGGTTTGAATATCTCCAAGAAAGAAAACTCCACAACCTCTCTGGACAGTCGGTTTCAGTCATCAGTCACCCTTAACATGAGGAAGTTTTCTCTAATATTGAGATGGACCTGCCTGTGTTTCTGTCTGCTGCCCCTTGCCCTGTCACAGGGACCACTTAAAGAGTCTGTCCCCACCCTCTCACCACCTACCCTTTAACATGCTTGAATGCATTGGTAAGATGCAATCATTACCTCTCTGAGTCATCTCTTCTTGAGGTTGAAGAGGCCCAGCTCCCCCATCCTTTCCTCACAGGACAGATACTCCAGTCCCTTAACCATCTTCGAAGCCCTCTGCTGGCCCTTCTCCAGTAGCTCCATTTCTAACTTTTCAGTATCAACTTGTGTTATTTCACACACGGCTCAGCACTATCTGTTCTATTCCTTACATGTTTATGGCAGATGTTTGTGATCCGAAATAAAGCAGGATGACCTGACCAAAGCCATGGAGCGTTCCTCACAGGATGACTTGCCAGACATTACAAAATGAAAAGAATCTTACTATTTTATTGGCGAAACAAGATTATCAAACCATCTGTGTGTCCCCAACATTTCATCAAATGCAGCTTCATAATCTCAATACTGGCATTTTTACACCTCCAATGTAACTATCTGAAGCCATTAAAGGAATTAATGTCCCTCCAACTCAACGTGTGGAACATACTTCACTAGCATTTTCTCTTTTATACTAGGGATTGAATACTTAAAAATATTTGTTACATGAAACAAGAGTCTTCTACGTGCCAAAGTGAAGCTTAAGTGGTTTATTTTAAAATGGCTTCCAGAGCAGATTAAGAGAGTGAAGCACTGGACTTAAAACAGATTAGAAGGATCAACGAGTCTTCCCTCGTGGATGTCAAGCAGTTCACGCGAGCAGTGACTACACCCCTACATTAACACATATTTTTTTGGGAGCCGTCTGCTGGTGGGCAGATTTATAGGGGTGTCATTCCTTCCGGCCGCAGGGCGCTGCTCCCTGCCCCGGGCCGCGGGAGGCGGCAGCGCTCTGCAAGGGCCTTCCCGTCACCGCGACCGGCCTGCGGGAGGGCAGCGCGGCCGGGCCCGGGACGGGCGGG